GACAGAAGTTTCTGCTAATACCGTATTGACTTAATTGCTGTAATTTTACAATAAGTGTTGCCGTCTGGGGATGTAAATCTTTCCACTGTGTTTTGCTTCTTCAATATCGCCTTGGCTCTTCTGGCCATTTGCATTTCACAGAACAATGGAGTCATCTTGTCAATTTCCACAAAAACTTGCTGAGATTTTGACTGGACTTGAATAAAATCCGTAGATTAATTTGGGGAAAACAAATGTCTTTATGATATTGAACCTTTGTGCCTAGGAGCACGGCATGCTTTCCCATTAATATAGGTCTTCTTTAGTTTTTCTCAGCAGTGTTTCTGGATTCTCTGGAGAGGTCTTGCACATCTTTTATCGGATTTATTCCCATGTGTTGGATGTGTTTTTTTTTAGGCTAATGTAAGTGGTGTCATGTTTAAAATTTTGTTTTCCTCTCCCTGTCCTAATATTAAGATTATTGACGGGTAGTTCATCATCAAAGATAAATTCAAATTCCTATTATCAGAACTATTTTTTAGTCTTGAACTTGGCATGTTTTTACAGTTTATATTTGCTTTCCACTTAGAAATAGTTTACCTGTATGATTGGTCTTTAATTATTTTAAAGGATCAAACTCAAACTCTCCCTTTGGAAGAATCGGGAAGAGGGTGACTCCAGAAATCTATTTAGGTGAGGAACGAAGGATTCTCCTGGGAAGAATCCATCTTACGCAAGTGAGAGCCAGGCTGGACCTACTTGACCCCGTAACAAAGCCCTTCCCTGAGGGAGGGAGACCGTGTGGCGTCTGTCACTCATTTGTCTTCTAGCCTGGGTGTCCATAGTTCATATCTTAGTCCTGGGAGGACAGTGTGCAGAAGGGAGGGCTGCAGGTAAAACATGGAAGGAACTCTTTTATTTTTATTTTTTTTCAAAATTTTATTTAAATTCTAGTTAGTTAAGATATAGCGTAATATTGATTTCAGGAGTAGAATTCAGTGATTCACCACTTACATATGATGACATCCAGTGCCCATCACAACAGGTGTCCTCCTTAATCCCCATCACCCTTCTGGCCCCTCCCCCACCTGCCTCCCTCCATCAGCCCTCAGTTTGTTCTCTATCTTTCTGTTATGGTTTGTTCCCCCCTCCCATATGCTCATTGGTTTTGTTGGTAAGTGACTCTTTCAATGATAATTTCAGAAAACACTGGGCGTAATCTGTTGGGCAGCATATTATAGCAGGAGGGCGTTGTCCCTTACCTCACCCAGAGCCCTGTCGTTCGGGCACTTTGTGGCAGGACATAGTACAGGCTTCCCCCTGCCAGTAGGAGCAGTGGTGGTAGGAACAACGGGTTCCACGTGTTGGCTACTTGCCATGTGCTCGGTACTTCATAAACAGTAACTCATTGACTTTTACCAGGGTGGAAACAGGCACAGAGAGGCTGGGGAACCTGCCCCAGGTCTCGGAGCTCACAGATGGCCATGCCAGGATTCAAAGCCAAGCTCGCAGGTCCCAGAGCCTGTGCTGTTGACAGGATGTGGCCGCTCAGGCGGTGGCAGCAGATAGGGGCTAGCGCGGGAGAGCGGGAACAGGGTGAGGATCCTGCAGCATGCCTGGCGGAGAGCCCCGTGAGCTTTCCCTTGAGGACTGAGAACTAGCTCGGGGTGGGGCGGGGGCTGAATGAGCCGCTGAAGGTCAAGAGAAGGGAAGCAGGTCATCGTAATTTGACCATCCGATCAGATTTCCAGACTTAGGAAACCTTACATGGATTTGTTTTTTAATTTTATCACCTGAAAATTTCCTTGGGTAAGTGGAATCATGACTTGTGGTCTGTTCTTTCTCTGAGGTGATGGGCACATCTATATTTAGACCGATAGTCATGCTTCTGTGGTGATGGATCAGTGTGTACCTCCAAACACGGCTGTGCATGGAGGTGATCGCACAGAGAAATCATCAATGTGGTAGGTTCGATGCACACACATCAGAGGGACTTCTCTCCAGACTTACGGATGAAGCAGGTGCACCGCGGTGGTGCCCGGGTAGAGATTCCCAGCTGGGCCAGCATCGCAGGCCCCAGCCGCATCTGCGCAGAAGGCACTTAGGGCTCCACAGGCCCCGTGCACAAGACCGTGGATGCTGATGGGATTTCCTTTAACCCCGTCCTTCCCCTCGCCTCCCACATATCGTGTGTCACGGAGCTCCACTGATTCTACCCTTTTAACAGCTTTCCGTTGGGCGCCTGGGTGGCTCAGTTGGTTAAGCGACTGCCTTCGGCTCAGGTCATGATCCTGGAGTCCGGGGATCGAGTCCCACATCGGGCTTCCTGCTCAGCAGGGAGTCTGCTTCTCCCTCTGACCCTCTTCCCTCTCGTGCTTTCTATCTCTCATTCTCTCTCTCTCAAATAAATAAATAAAATCTTTAAAAAACAACAACAACAACAACAAAAAAAAAACCCCAGCTTTCCGTGTGTCTCCTCTTCCTCCTCCTCTGGTGCTACTGGGAGGTACGTTCACAGATGTGTTTTCACCTGGACTGGATGATAACCTCCTGCCTGTTTTGCTCTTTTCTCTCTTAATTGCCTTTGCTGCCACCGGAATTATCTCTGTAAACAGAAAGCCATCGTGTCACTTCCCTCCTTAAAAATACGTGGATGGCCCCCACTGCTCAGAGGACTAAAATCCAACAGGCAGAGGCGGGTCTCTGCAGCTCCTTACCAACTGGCTCCTGCCTCTCTTTCCAGGCCCCGTCTCCCTCACGCCTGCCCTGGGGGCTCCCGGAGCCCGGGCTCTGCTTCCAGACATGGCGCCTCGTGGTGCTGTTCCCCCATGGGGTTCCTTCCCTGCCACCCCTCTGCTCTCCTTTGCCCGTCTGGCCAGCCCTTCACTTCCTTGGAGATTGTTCTCAGAAGCACGGATTAAATGTCTGCCTTCCCTGCTAGACTCGAGCCCAGTAAACCGCAGGGATCTATCTGCTGGAGGCCGTCCTCCCTTCATCCAGCCATCCATCCGTTCCTTCGACTACTCCTCCCCGAGCACTAGCTGTATGCAAGGCACCGTGCTAGCAGCTGGAAATACTAAATGCTTGTTTCCACCGAGCTCGTATGCTAGTGAGAGAAGGCAGGCTAGGAAGACAGAAACGCAGCAACAGATCAGGTGGTGTGAAGCGAGAGGCAGGGTCACGTGACCCGCCATGCGTGGGTAAATACTTGGAGGGCCAGGGAGGGCCCCTCAGAGGGGTGCCCGGGAGGCTCAGACCTCAGCCAGCCACCCCTGAGGAGATCAGGGTAAAGAGCATTCCAGGCAGAGGCAGCAGATAATACAAAGGCCTCGGGCTAACGACAAGCTGACTTAGAACAAGCACACTGGTGACCTAACGTCTCAGGGTGCAGCGGAGAAAATGCCTCCAAGAGACAAGTAGAGAGAAAGGTCATAGCTCGTTTTGGAGTCAAAGGTGATTCGTTCTCCGAAACTTCCTGGGTACTTGTTGGCGGTGGCCAATGGCAGAATGAAGGGCCCTGTTGTTCACAACTGAGACACAGAAGTGCTTAGGAAAGTAGGTGCCGAGTCCCCTCCCCGCGGCACCTGGAGCTGGGCGTTCTGTCTGTCCGCCCGTTTGTAAGGTCAGGAAGGCCCGTGTGAAGGAGCTGCACAGTTTTAATTTCTCTTCTTCTTGGTGCCTTTGTTTTGCCCAAGGCACACGCACTTCATATACCTGCAGGAAGGTGAATACTCTTCTACTGAAATACGCCGATTTTTACCCTTTGCGGTGGGGAGGCCCTTAGTTTACCCTCCGCTATCATTCCCCAGCTTACTCTTTTCTTACTCCCTTCCCATGCCCCAAGAAGAAAAGGTGCCTGTCCGAGACCCTGTGTGCTTTGGTGTGGGGCCATGGCCAAGGGTTCAGCGGGAGTTGGGGCTCACAGCAGCCTGTTTGCTTTCCAACTGCAAATGTCCCCCGGAAACCCTGAGTTTAGGGGCGGGAGACCCACGCTAGCTCTGTTGCGTAGAGAGGTGCTGCCCAGCATAGCCAACGTACACAGGAGGAGATGGCACTTTCTCTTCCCTGGTGGGTGGGCGGCTCTCAGGGCAGAGGTCGCACTGGCGGAAAGGCCCACCTTCTCATGGCCATACTAACCCAGGGGGTTGGCCCCGCCAAGGCTGTGTCTACACGGTGTCGTAGATGCTGCTGTGGTCCTGTGATCTATTTCTGTGGGTGTTTTCCCTTTTAATTATGTTCCCAGTTATTCTTGTGGGAATTGGCCATCTAGAAAACTTATATAACTGTACAGTACAGTAATTTAGTGTCGAAAGGAATTTGGGCCTCTAAACTTTTTGGGCAAGGTGACAGAGACCCACAACAGCCAGGTGTCTGGCCCAGGTGTCAGAGCGAGGTCCAACAGCCTTGCATTCCTGGCTTCCAGGCCAGTTCTTCTGTTCCCAGGGACTGCCCTTAGTCGTTGAAGGAGAGGTAGCAAACTGGTGACCCGAGATTCTTCTTCTTCTTCTTCTTCTTCTTCTTCTTCTTCTTTTTAAGCTAATAGTCCATGTTGAAACACTGGGAGAGTACACGAAAATCTGGATTTCTGGTTTCTTCGGAAAGCGCCGAGCCCACGCTTCTGCAAGACTAACCGTTGGTGTTAACAGTGGCTTCTGCCTTCATGCAGGTGATGTACATTCTAGTTCAGCACGGTCCCCTCTGCTCCCTGTGACCTCCCCAGCATCGAGCCTGATGGCCAGCAGCCATTTAGGGTCAAACTTGTGCTGTCGTATTTCCGGCAGTGGAACTAAGAAGAAGGTGAACTGTCTCTCATATCCACGTCTCTGTTAAACGTGGGCTGTGTTTCAAGACGAATGGGTATTTTAATTTTTTTTTAAAGATTTTATTTATTTATTTGAGAGAGAGAGAGAGAGAAACAGCATGAGAGGGGAGAAGGTCAGAGGGAGAAGCAGGCTCCCCGCTGAGCCGGGAGCCCGATGTGGGACTCGATCCCGGGACTCCGGGATCATGACCTGAGCCGAAGGCAGTCACTTAACCAACTGAGCCACCCAGGTGCCCCGAATGGGTATTTTAAAAAAGTAAAGTGTGTCAGGGCCAGAAGAATACAGTTCAAGGTGATATTATGAAACAGATCTGTTTGGCACCTGTAGGCGTTGGGAGTTGCAACTCTCAATACCGAGGTCATCGGACGAGCTTTGGGTACGTCTTTTCACTGGGGGGCTATGGTATACCTTTGACAAGTTTTGAAAGGAGATTTTCGTAGAGAAAGTGGAACAGAGAGAGGACATGGGACCCCTCTCTCCCCCTTGCCCACAGCAGAGCTACTAAAAGGAGGATCAGTTTGTTTAGACACTGAGTCCAGTTGTCCAAAAGGCTGGGCTTTGGGAACTCTGCACCGATTTCCTGGAGGATTACCTTGATCCGCCCACGGGCCATCATGCAACAGAGCTCGGGGAGTTGGAGCTCGGGGTTCCTCTGCCACTTGTTGACTTGACCCTGACGTTGCCTCGAGGACACCCACTTCTTATTTGGGGAAATAAACTGCAAATAAGCCACAGCCCAAACGGACCACACTCGTGGTTCCCTGGACAAGAGGTGCCGTGTTCTACCTGCCCAGTACTGCAGACGGTCCGCCGCTGGGCTCATCCCTGCTCGTGAACTGCCTTCTGGTCTCTGCTTCCGGCCGTCCTTCAACTCCACCATCTAATACTTCTTTTGTGAAGCCAGGAGGCTCCGTAAAGGTTAAAAATAATTCAGCGATGTTGTGCTGCGCATAATTGGCAGGTCGTGAGCCATCTGGAGAGCAGGAGAACCAGTTCTCTTGCTTCTCTTGGTTTGGTCTGTTTACTCTGCTGGTGCCCGTCCCTGACGCTTGGGCTGGGAGACCTGCTGAGGAATGCTTCCTCTGGGGTTCCGACGGGCACGGCTATTTGTCATGGCCTCAGAAGCTGCTTGGGGGCAGGTAAGGAAGACCGCCCTTTCGGGAGGGATAATTATGGTCAGTGACCTCGAGCTTGTAGCTTGGCCTTACTCTGCGCCCGAACTCAGGTGTGACTCAGGAAGTCCTCTGTCTGCTTTTGTGTGTCCACATCGGTGATTTCCTTACCTGCGTTACGGCAGGGAAACAGCCTCGGGTACTGCTGAGGGGACAGGGTTCTGAATCAGGCCTTTTGCCTGGCTGAGCACAGGGCTTAGAGGAGGAGTCTCTGTGCGGGAAGGATTAAGTCGAGGGAGGAGTCGTGGTCATCAGGGGACCAGACACCTGTCAAAACCAGGCATGACCGCCCACCTCCTCTCTGACTCACCCCCAAAGCATGATTGAACTGGAGGGGGTGTGTGGCAAGCAGGTATTTGATTCAGCGAGGCAGGCGGGGGCCTGAACCCTGTCCCTTCCCACCCCCGAGACCCCACTGGTTGCTTTTTTTCCAGGGACTGGGAAGCCTGGGGATCTCAGACCTTGACCAGTGAAGTCTGTCTTGGCCTTGTGTAGCCTCATCACGTGAGCGGCCTGATGAGGTAGAACTAGGGAAGAATAGCTAGACTTTTCAGGGGCTTAGGAGTCTCTTTGACTTACCAGGAATGCATCGGGTCCAGGATTATCCAGGAGTCACTGCGTTAACACAGTGCCTGGAGGGGAGGCCCCATCATTAAACCTGGCTTCCTTGAGGTAGACAAACCCCGAACAGATCGGGGTGGTGCTTGATGACCCCTTCCCTTGCCTCCGTGTGACCCTCCTCAGAGTGAGTATTCCCTTTGAAATGATCAAAGAAGTAGTCTGGTTAGCATTACAAGAGATTCTTCCAGTTCCATACCTCTTACATCATATGGAACAGGGTGATGGAAGAAAGCCCTACAATGGCCAGACCAGTGTGGGCCACATCAAAGCTGTGGTCATTACACCAGTCGTGGTCAATGAATGTGGATCCCAATATAGACAGCGTTTTATCCTTGTTTGTTTTCAAATGAAGCATTTGGCTTGTATATTATGCTTGAAACATTGAGCATCAAAATGCATGATTGTATTTGAATATGAACGCCACCTGTGTTTTAATGGTAAGTTGCCATTTTTATTGTGTGTACGGCAGCACAGGTGTATTATTTTAAATGATATAGATGACATGGAAGATGGATAGTGAGTTAAGTAATGACTGCTACTTCATGGGGCCTGTGGTAGGATGTACCAGTTTAGCAGATGAGGTCATTTGAATCACATGGAAAGGTCGCCTTCACCGCCTGTCAGAATGCATGGAAATCACAATGATCAGCAGCGTCCAGGGGATGCTGAACTCTTTTCTTACCCCCTCCCTCCCTGCACCCTGCCTCCTGCCCTCTCCCATAGGCTTGGCATCATTCTGCGTGGTGAAGTTCTACCAGGGGAAAGCCCCAGCGTGCAGTGGGTCTGGACCCTGTCCGAACCCTTCCCTGGACCCACGGCCAGAAGTGGGGTATGGTCTGGGGAGCAGCCCGGGCTTGTGCCAGCTGGGGCACGTGGCCAGGATCCCTTCCCTTCTTGACACTCTCAGGGAAGGGTCTGCCTGGCCAGAGCCATGGTCGCCGTTCCCCCTACCCGGTCCCCGACGGTGTTGTACCTGCCCCAACATTCCCTTTGTGCCGGCCTAGCTTTGGTGCTCCGGGAATTATAGGGTGAGGCTGGTGGGGGCGCTGCATGGTGCCCCACAGGCATGTCTGTCCCGCTGGGCGCCCCTGCGGGAGGAACGGTGCCTCCAGCCCTGGGCCCCAGGCCTGCTCCAGCACGGTGAGGGCTTCCTAGGTCAGCAGCTCCGGACAGCCAGACTGGCCAGTGAGGCCGTGACCCCGATGTTAAGGCTAAGTCGGGGGCCTCCGCATACAGAACTTGGGAGGCCAGGATGGCCATGGCAGAGCCCTCCTCTGTGTGCACCCTCCTCGGGTGTCCAGCTGGCGGGGGGAGACGGCCCTGGCTTCCAGGAGTGCCGCCCAGCTGTGGGAGGCCGTCCAACGGCGGCGTTTCAACAGCTTCTCCAGGGATCAAAGGCTCCCCAGCTGAATGGGAATCTGTGGTCTGATGATTTAACTGGTTTCTGCAGCCCCCCTCGCCATCGCCCCCGCCCCAAACCCAGTGGCAGACAAAATATCGGGCCAAAGGGCCAAACAATGGCGGATGGGGGTCTCCCCATCTCGTCTCCCTCCGGACTTTTCCCGACCCGGAGCTCGCCGCGGGAGCGCGGAGATACTGTTGGAGGCTCTGACACCTGCTGGCCGTCCCGGAAACTGCGCCCTGGGAGGGTCCCCTCTGCTCGGATCAGTTTTAGGGCTGTAGCTTCCCTGCTTCTAATTTTAACATAAGATGTACTTAATACGTTAGTTATCGTGAATCGAATTACTTATAAGTAACGTTCTTTGGCAAATACATGTGGACCAGAAAACTTATGCAAAGATGTACAGGAACCGTATGGGGAGCGCAGCCAGGTCTGGGGGACTTCTTGGACGGTGTACCTTTGGGTTCTCTCTGAAATGTTTTAAACAAGAAGGGGTGTGTTGCTTTAGTCCTTGTAGCTGAGGTGCTGCACTGGAGCGGGAGGCCCAGAGGTGCAGAATGTTCCCTAGGGGCCCCTGCCCCTCCCCGTTCCTTGTTCGGGCACCTTGAGTGCCGTCATGCATGTGCGGGAGCCTGTGTAGCTGGACTCACCCTGACCCTGCTCACGAGTGGAGGCTGGGCCTGGAGGGAGCAGCAGCTCCCGCGGGGGCCCTCCTGCCGGGCTTGGGCCGCCCACCCCCCCAGGGACGAGCTCAGGGCCAGGGCTCCAGGTGGAGAGCTGAGCCCTCGCTCAGGTACCCACTCAGGGAGCGGGGCCGCGGGCGGGTGTGCCTGTGGCTGGCTGGCAGGAGAACCGGGTCTGATGAAAACACCCACCACCTCTGTGCCTCTTACTGTCTGATATCAATGCGACCTTACCCCCATTGAACAGACTTCCTCCTGCGTTCCCACCGCGCCCCTGTGATGACATACCTGCTTTGACCATTTGTTGAGTCTGTGCTCCGGGACAGCAGACACTCCTCAATGGGCTGGGCCCCTTCACCCAGCTACCCCCCTGGCAGCCCAGAGACCCTGGGCGCTGAGGAGGCTAGAGGAGCATGCCCGGCGCTCAGGGCAGAGCCTCAGTGATTAGTGGTGCCGGCTTGGGTCCCCGCGGAGGGGGGCTCCTTCCTGCACTTGCCATGTGGTCCCTCAAGGGTGGGACTGGAGCCCTGCCGTGGGGCTCCTTGGCAGCCATTCTTCAGGGGAAGAAAATTGTAGCAACACACTCAATTGTTGGCCTTTAGACCCAGAGGACGTGGTTCAGCTCCAGTGATTGGCTCTTTTAGGACACACCCTCAGGGAAACAACATAGCACGAGTGCTATCCCAGGACTGGTTCCAGTATCTGCCATCTTTTTGACTCCATACAGCCGGGCCCCTGACCTGCTGTGATCCCCTCTCTCCCTCCTCTGGGCAGCACCCCTGTTGCCTTCCCAGACAACCAGGGCTCTTCCCTTTGCCTTTCCCCCTTCCTGCTCCTGCTGGCTGGATCACAGACGTCACGGAACCCGGAGGCTGGAGGCCACGTGCCCAGGGAGATAGCAGAAGGTGGAGACCCTGATGGCCTTGCAGAGCTGCTCTCTGACAACGCACCGCTAGTCTCCGGGAAAGTAGAAGAATGAACCCACATATGTCAATGACCGAGTTTCCTGTTAAACGAAGTCAAACCTAATTGGAGCAGATGCAGGGACCCTCAGTGATGCCGAGCTGTTTTCCTGCTCTCATCTACACGCTGTGCCATGTGGGCAAAGATCTCTAATAAAGAACGGAATCCCACAACTCGAATCTCTGCGAAGACCTTGTGTACACAATAAAATAGATCTGTTTGCGCTATTGTTCTTAGAACTATTGAATTCCAGTGTTCTCACTGTCGGGTGGGTGGGCCTGGACTTTCATGAGCACACTGCAGTGTCTCTCAGCTTCTGTTTAAAGATGGGGGATGAGCAGGGAAGAGGGGAGTGAGGATGCCAAGGGGAGAGGTAGGCTGCCTTGGTAAAGTGTCCCTTTGGAGCTTGCTGAACGCCCTGGTCCTAAGCCCCTGAAAAGCTCACTTCCGTTCCCCTGCACGGGAGACTCTGGGGCTTGTTCCAGCCCTAGGACCCAGGTCTTTCTTGATCCTGGATGCATCCTTTGTTAAAAACAGCTTTATTAATGGGGCGCCTGGGGGGTGCAGTCGGTTGAGCAGCCAACTCTTGGTTTCGGCTCAGGTCACGATCTCAGGGTGAGATGGAGCCCCGCATCAGGCTCCACACTGTTTTCTGTCACTATGGCCATAGTTTGCATTCTTAAAGTTTTATGCAAATACAATCGCATAGCACATACTCTCTCTTTTTTTAGTCTGTCTTGTATCAGCATAATTTTTTTTAAGATTCATCTATCTCGTTGTATGTATCATTCCTTTTTATTGTGGAATAATATTCCATTGATATTGTTGTGGGTGCATCACAATATCTATGCGCCTGTTCATGCATGTTTGGGGAATTACTGGGATCGACTCTTAGAGTTGCCGAGAGCACTTGTGTGCAGGACTCTGTGTTACTCCTGGGTGTATATCGAGGAGTAGAATGGCTGGGTCATATGGTAGGAGTATGCTTAACTCTTTATTCCTAATCAGATATTCTTACTATACTTACCCCTTACCCTTGATTCATTGTATATTTTATTTTATTTTTTAAAATACTTTATTTTATTTTTATTTTTTTAAGATTTTATTTATTTACTTGACACAGAGAGAGAGACAGAGAGAGAGGGAACACAAGCAGGGGGAGTGGGAGAGGGAGAAGCAGGCTTCCCGCGGAGCAGGGAGCCCAATGCGGGGCTCCATCCCAGGACCCTGGGATCACGACCTGAGCTGAAGGCAGGCAGACGCTTAGTGACTGAGCTACCCAAGCGCCCCTCATTGTATATTTTAAACAAAAGATGTTTAATACAGACTTATCTCTGAGTCATTATACATTTTGAAGAGATGTTTTTGTAGCCAGTATGACTTTTACTCCCTTTTATTCTGTGGGGAGATAATTGTGCCAAAATTCTATAGAAAAATATTGACATAGAAGGTACTTCCTACTTTCCTTGTGTTACCTCCAATTCGAGATCACAAGTAAAAAGAAATTTAATGAATTTGTTTTTTTATGTTATGCTATTTGTGTTATATTTTTATGTTATTTGTGTTTGTTTTTGAATATATATTTTTTCTTTACATATATGTGTCTTTCAAAGAAATTTAATGAATTTTTTTATGTTATGTTATTTGTGTTTGCTTTTGAATATATTTTTAGGTCTATCACTCCATGTTGTGTCTGGTGCCGGGTATGAACCAGAGTTCGTTGGTTTTGTAGATGGGTATCCAGTCGATCCAGCACTGTCCTTGCTCCACTGACCACCTTGGTACCTTTGTCAAAAACTGGTTGTCCATATATGTATGGATGTATTTCTGGGTTCTCTATTCTCTCCCATTCATCTATTCACTTATTTACACCAAATCACACTTTTTGATTCCTGTAGTCCTTAAATAAATCTTGAAGTCAGGTAGCATGAGTCCTCCAACTTTTTTTTTTTTAATAGTTGTTTAGAGCTATCCTAAGCTCTTTCCATTTTCATACAAATTTTAAAATCAGCTTGCCAGTTTCTGCAGAAAAATCCCACTGGGATCTTCACTGGGATTGTGTTGAATCTATAGAACAATTTGGGAAGAATTGATGTCTTAGCAATTTGAGTTTTCAGACTCAAGAAAAATGTATATTTCTCCCCCTTTTAGAAAGCTCTTCTTTAATTTCCTTTGGCAACATTTTGTAGTTTTCAGTGTACCTGTTTGCATACCTTTTGTCATATTTATCCCTAATTTCCTTTTTTTAATGCTGTTGTAAATAATATTTTTAAAAATTTCAATTTCTGATTTTGTGTTGTTAGTATACAGATATACAATTGACTTGTTATATTGATCTTTTGTTCTGCAAACTTACTAAACTCACTAGATCTAGTAGCTGTCTTGTAGATTACATCACATTCTCTGCTTAGATGATCATATTGTTTGTGACTAAAGGCAATTTTATATTTTCCTTTCCAATCTCGACGTCTTTTATTTCTTTTTCTTGCTTGATTGCACTGGCTAGAGTCTCTAGTGCACTGTTGAACAGAAGTAATGAGAGTGGGTGTCCTCTTGTTGTTTCAGATCTTAGGGGAAAGTGTTCAGTCCTTCACCACTAAGTATGGTGTTGGCTGTAGGCTTTTCATAGATGCCCTTTATCAGGTTGAGGAAGTTCCCCTCTGTTCCTAATTTGTTGAGTTGTTTTACCATGAAAAGGTGTCAGATTTATCAAATACTTTTTCTGCATGGGAGATGATCACATGGTGCTTCTTATTAACCTCTTAACAGAATGACTTACATTCATTTTCAAATGTTAAACTGAGGCTGCATTCCTGGGATAAACCATACTTAGTCATAATGTATTATCCTTTTAATAATTGTTGGATTCAGTTTACTAAAATTTTGTTTAGAATTTTTTGTATCCATATTTATGAGGATACTGGTCTGTAGTTTCTTTTTCTTTTTTTTTTTTTAAAAATTTTATTTATTTATTCATGAGAGAGAGAGAGAGAGAGGCAGAGGGAGAAGCAGGCTCCCAAGGAGCAGGGAGCTCGATGCAGGACTCGATCCCAGGACCCTGGGATCATGACCTGAGCCGAAGGCAGATGCTTAACCATCTGAGCCACCCAGGCGCCCCCTGGTCTGTAGTTTCTTATAATGCTTTTGTCTTTGGTATCAGAGAAGTGCTAGCTCATAGAGTGAATTGGGAAGTATTCACTCTTCAATTTTCTGAAAGACTTTGTGTAGTATTGGTATTACTTTTGCCTTAAATGTTTGGTAGAATTCACTGGTAAAGCTATCTGGGCCAGGAGCTTTCTTTGAGGGAAAGATTTAACCATAAATTTGACGTCTTTAATAGATATAGTTCTATTCAAGTTATTTGTTTCTTCTTGAGTGAGCTTTGGTAATTTGCATTTTTCAATCAATTGTTCATTTTATCTACATTGTCAAATTTCAGGTATAAAGTTGTTCATGATATTTTCTTATTATCTTATTAGTATCTGTAGAGTCTGTAGTGATGTTACTTACTTCTCTCTTTCCTGATATTGCTAATTTGTATCTTCTCTCTTTTTTCCTGATTAGTCTGGCTAGAAGTTTATTAATTTTACTGATATTCTCAAAGAATGACCTTTAGGTTTCATTGATTATGTATGTTGTTTTTCTGTTCTCTGTTTCATTGATTTCCTCTTTGATCTTTATTGTTTCCTATGTTCTGCTTACTTTAGTTTCACTTATTCTTCTTTTTCTAGTTTCGTATGGTAGGACCTGAGGTCACTGATTTGAGACCTTTCTTCTATTCTAATATAGGCAATTAGTGCTATCAATTTCCCTGTAAAAACTGCTTTAGCAGACTCCCACAAACTCTGATAGGTCGTATTTTCATTTTCATCTTGTTAAAGTACTTTCTAATTTTCCTTTTGATTTCTTCTTTGACCCATGGATTACTTAGAGGTGTGTTATTTAATTTCCAACCATTTCAAGATTTTTCCAGACATCTTTCTGTTATTGATTTCTAATTTAATTCCTTGTGATCACAGAACATACTTTGTATGAGTTAAGCCGTTTTACATTTATTGAGACATGTTTTATGGCCCAGAATATGGTCCATCTTGGTAAATGTGCCATGTGCACTTGAATGTATTTTGCTTCTATTGGCAACAGTGATTATTCATATGATTAGACTTAAATTTATCATTTATATTTTTCTCTTAGTCTCTTGACACTGTTCTTTATTCCCTTTTTCCTCTTTTCCTACCTTTTTTTGGATGGAGTATTTTCTGTGTTTCTGTTTTATCTTCTGTGTTGGGTTGTTAGTTATATCTCTTCACCTTGCTCTTTTAGTGGTTACACTAGGGTTTATAGTATCATCTTTAACTGATCAGCCTGCTTTCAAGTTATATTAGGGCCACTTTAGGTGTAGTGTAAGAGCTGATGGAGTATACCTATGCTGTTCTCCTTCTGGTTTTTATGCCATTGCTCTCATATGTTTTCTTTATATATTTGCTATAAACCCTAGGCTGTATTATTGTTTTTATGTTAAATAGTAAGTTTCTTTTTCTTTCTGACTTTTTATTTTGAAATAAACTGTAGATTCACAGGAAGTTGCAGGGAAATGTATGGGAAGGTCCTGTGTACCCTTCACATGCGCCTCCTTGAGTGTTGATTTCTTGCATAACTGTAGGACCATATCAAAACCTGGAACTTGGCATTGGAACAGCCCAGAGTGTATTCAGATTTCATCAGCTCTACATGTACTCATTTGTGTGTAATGTGTGTGTATATATATCTGTGCAATTTTACTTTTTCTGTAGCTTTGTGTCATTGCCACAAGTGAGATACAGTATCTTTTATTACCACAAGGCTCCCTTGTACCTTCATAGTCAATCTGCCCCCCTTCCTCTAATCCATGACAACTGGCAACCACTAATCTGTTCTCCATTTTCATATTATAGTTGTTTCAAGAGCGTTATATAAGTGGAATAATTTATGTAGTATCATGCAGAGAGCCTTTTGCTCTCCCTTGAGGCTAGTCTATGGTCTCATTGTATCAGTAGTTTGTTCCTTTTAATTGCTCAGTGGTATTCCATGGTTTGGATGTACCACAATTTATTTATTTAATCATTTACACATTGAGGGACATTCCTGTCAAGTCTAGTTTTTGGCTATTATATATAAAGTTGCTATGGACATTCATGTATAGGTTTTTGAGTGTTGTGGGTTTTCATTTGCCTTTGATAAATGCTCAAGAGTGCTAATG